GAACGTTTTAAGAAACGAGTTACTCAATAGATTGAACACAATAATATTTATAATTAACCGAATAAGTTACATAATGATTAAGTGCAAATTTAGAATGGCAAAGAACTTCTACTAGTTCTACAATTACTCATTATGCAATTAGAAAATAAGAGTCAATGGGAAAACACAATATTTACCTTAAGGAAAATATTAATATTTTTTCTAGTTTGATGATAGGGCGTGGGGAAATTCACCGTCGAATATCATGACACAATGATTGCTGATTTCATATGATTTCAAAGTGACTTCAAGTGGCTTTTTGGGATATTTTATTTAAAATGGCTGCAAGTGATTTCGAAGCTGTCTCTCTCGATTCGATGATTTCAAATGATTTTACACGATGTCAGGACTGATTTCATATGATGTCAATTAACAGTGCCGATGATTTCATCGATAAATAGCCCCTCATGAATGGGAGCAGAACATCCTCAAGTCTCATTGAATTGGCTAATTTTAGGAGACAGAAAAAACTTTAGATGGGCGCATCACCCGACGAAAAACTGAACTGGAGCGAAACCAGACACGACTCCAATCACTACGAAAAGTTCGTCCTGCATTTATGGAGGAATTCGAGAAGCTTGAGTTAGAATTACGTGGGGTGTACGATGACTATATTCAGAAATGCAGATATCTATCGTATTTGGAACATCTGTATGAGGATGCAACGAAGGTTGAGCAGGAAAGAATTGAAGAACGACAAGCTGCGACTAGGAGGCAATTGGAACGATTGCGTGGGGAGGACGCAAGTTTTGAAAGTATCATGGAAGGTAATGATTCCATCATCCCTGCGAATTTAGGAGGACCTTTAGAAGAGACAGAGAAGAGGAGTACTGATAATTCCGGACAAATTACACGCACTATTCAGTCTGGTAAGTGAATTTCAGGACTGATATATTTTTATTTATATTTGATGTGATTCGATACAAGATGCAACTAGCTATTGTCCGACGGCCTTCAGCCAGTGTTACATGCAAATGTTTATAATATAAATTTTTTGTACTTGATGTACATTCAATCGCTGAGTTTTTACAAATTAGTGTGATGAGAATGAGACGTGAATAGTAGTGCTTTGATGAATTAGAGGTACAGAGGTATTTTGGTACTCTCGAATATGCGCTAGCTTTCCCCAGGAGTTCGAGTCTTCGTAGTTTTGTTTGATTTGTTTAAATGGGTTTTATAATTTATAATGGGTTCTGATGTTGTGGTGCCGTATTTGACGGAC